AGCGTGAAGCCAAACGTTTGCCCCAAATGGAGGGAGGTGTTCCCAGCGCGTGGCATTACAGCTCTGAAAATGGGGAGCGGTGTCTGAAAATGGGGAATGGTGTCTGAAAATGGGGAATGGTATCTGAAAATGGGGAATGGTGTCTGAAAATACGGGGCACGATGTTGAAAATGGGGAATGGTGTCTGAAAATGGGGAATGGTGTCTGAAAATATGGGGTGTGGTGTCTGAAAATGGGGAATGGTATCTGAGAATATGGGGCATGATGTTGAAAATGGGGAATGGTATCTGAAAATATGGGGCATGATGTTGAAAATGGGGAATGGTATCTGAAAATGGGGAATGGTGTCTGAAAATGGGGAATGGTGTCTGAAAATACAGGGCACGATGTTGAAAATGGGGAATGGTATCTGAAAATGGGGAATGGTATCTGAAAATATGGGGTGTGGTGTTGAAAATATGGGGTGTGGTGTCTGAAAATGGGGAATGGTATCTGAAAATACAGAGCATGATATTGAAAATGGGAGACGGCATCAGAAAATGTGGGGTAGGGTGTCTGACAATAGAGCATAACATCTGAAAACGGGGCACGGTACCTGAAAATGCTGGGTATGATGTTTGAAAATGGGGCGTGATGTCTGAAAGTATGGGGCACAATATCTGAAATTATAGAGTATGGCATCGAAAATGGGGCGTGATGTCTGAAAATATGGGACACAGCATTAAAAAATAGGGGGTCCAGCATCTGGAAATATGGGGTGCGGTGTCGAAAATGGGATGAGGGGGAAAAATAAAACGAGGCGCCCAACGTGGGGCTCGAACCCACGACCCTGAGATTAAGAGTCTCATGCTCTACCGACTGAGCTAGCCGGGCTGGTAGCAGCCAATTAGCAGTGAAGCACTAATCAGCGTGCTAATTGCAGCTGTGCACCGTGCAGAGGAGAGCGGAGCGTTGCAGGAGGAGGAGGGAAGCAGCGGCAGGAGCTCCGGGCTGAGAAATTGGGTTTGTTTTCTTCCTTCCGCAGTGCAAAATCTGCACAACGCACAGAGAAGCTCCGGGCGGCGCCAAAGGGCTGCGGGATTTATGCGCGGGTTTCGGCTGGGGGCGCTTCGAGAGGAAAATGAGGTTTAAAAATGAAAGTTTTTGTTATCTTAGATAAAATATACCAACTTGAGGCAGATCTTCCCTGACCGGGAATCGAACCCGGGCCGCGGCGGTGAGAGCGCCGAATCCTAACCACTAGACCACCAGGGAACCCCACAGGAGCCCATTTTTACCATTCGCTCCCCCAAAATCGCGTTTTTTCCCCTCATTTTGCCGCTCCCCAAACAAATGGGATTTTTACCCGCAGGGCATCCGCTGCATTCAGCTCGAACAGCCCCCAGCCTCCCCTTCTCAGCTGCGATAGGAAGGCAAGCAGGCAGAGCGCTGCTATTTCTGCTCCTCCACGGAAGGATGAGGCTCTAATTATTGTAATTACAGCTTTTCTCATCCTTGGCAGCCACGAGAGTCCCAGAATATCGATTTTTCTCTGATTTTTTTTTTTGCATCTTTCCTCGCTGGGAGACAAACAGAGCCCCAGAGCCCAATTTAATGGCAGCGAGCCGCGCTCATTAATTGAATGGGGAGGCTGAGAGTTTTGGCTGCTGGTTCAGGTCATGACCTGGGAACAAACAAATCCATGCAGGAGCAGGAATGTGTGAGCGTGAGGGTTCCTGCTTTTATTCCGTTGTGTTTTGTTTTTTTGGCTTGTGTTTGGGGTGCGTGAATGCAAAATGTGGTGGGGGGAAGAGGTGATGGGGTGGCTTAGGAAGTGGAAATACCATTTGGGGAATGGAAAAGAATGGCCGATGTAAGTGCGAAAATGAAAAAAAAGAGGGGGTGAAAACGTGAGGGATTCCTGGAAGAAAGCGGTTTGAGTGAAAATAATGGGTGGAAATTGGAAAAAAGTTGTGTAAGTGCTCAGATGAAGGGGGTTGAAGTCAAAGTGTGGGAAAAGAATGGCAAAATAGCGCTCGGGGTTTGTAGAATAAGTCAAAGTACGGGGGAGAACGGGGAAAGGCAGCATGGATTCTTGGAAGAATATGGATATGTAAAAGATACAGACGTGTAAAAAAATTTAAAAGGTGAACGAAAAGCTGAAGTGTTTCTGCCCGGTTTCGAACCGGGGACCTTTCGCGTGTGAGGCGAACGTGATAACCACTACACTACAGAAACCACGTACGAGGCTCCTGTAGGCCGCTATTTGCAGTAGGGTTCCCCAAAGCTCTTTTTCCACCCGAATTCCTCGCCGAACCTCGAAAACGGCCGTTTTCCGGTAAGCAGCAAAGATTGGAGGCGTGAGGAAGAAAAAAAAGAAGGTGAAGAGAAAGAAAACAGAGCCTCCGACCTGTTTAACGGGTTGAATTTCCCTGACCGGGAATCGAACCCGGGTCACGGCGGTGAAAGCGCCGGATCCTAACCACTAGACCACCAGGGAAAGCTGAAGTTCTGTTCTATTTAATTTTATCTCATTTTTCAATTTATTTTTTCCTTCACTCTGTTATTTTCTTTCATTTCGCCCTTTTTCTTACTTTCTCCTCTTCCTCTTTTCCTCCCCTCGATTTCAAACGTTTTTCCTCGTTGCGGATGAGCTCTTTCCGCCTTGCGCGTTGCCAAAGCTTCCTTCAGCCCCATGCAAAACATTGCGAAGAAAAACAAGGTGCAACAATAAACTGTGAGATCGGTAAAATAAAGCGTCACAAGAGCTCCCTGGTGGTCTAGTGGCTAGGATTCGGCGCTTTCACCGCCGCGGCCCGGGTTCGATTCCCGGTCAGGGAAAGATCCAATTGTTTTCGCCAACTTTCATCGCTTTTATAAATTCCCACCAACCCCAAGGAAAACATCAGCCTTAAAGCGGAGCTGTGAAATTTCGGTTTTTCCTTTTTGTAGCCGCTTTTCTTTCCACCTCCTGTGCTGCTGTAAGGGGTGAAGAATCACCAAAATCGCGAAAATTGGTTAAAAAGATAAAAAGTAAATCCAATGTTTCTGCCCGGTTTCGAACCGGGGACCTTTCGCGTGTGAGGCGAACGTGATAACCACTACACTACAGAAACCCCTATGGAACCCTATTCTTGCCTGTCCTCTCTGTGACCTCAAGATCTGCTTTAAAAAAAATAAAAATTAGGTCATTTTCCCACTTTTTTAGGTCATTTCTCCGGCTTTCTTGCGAGGGAGGCTCGTTTTGCTGATTTCTCACCCACTTATGAATCTGCTGCAGCAGTTTGTTTTCCCCAAAGCAAATCGGGGCAAATATTATGGCAAAAAAAAAAAAAGGTGGTTTTACCGCTGGTGGCTTTAAAATAAAGAGAAAAATCAGAATAGAAGGGAAGCAAATGCTGCTCTGCTGTTCCCCCTCCGTGGCCGTGCGCAGGACTGAGGAAATCTTCCATTAAATCAACCCTTTTGGGGCAAAAAACGGTGAAGTGCTGCATCTCGTGGGACCGTAAGAAGTGAAGGGGAAAAAAGATGTTAAAATTTAGGGGGGGGGGAAAGGCAAAAAATGCACTTGTCAGGAGTGGGATTCGAACCCACGCCTCCAGGCGGAGACCAGAAATCCCAACAGGGAAGGCAGAACCTTGAGTCTGGCGCCTTAGACCACTCGGCCATCCTGACGGCGAGAAAGCGATCCCTAAAAAGGGATTATCTAGACCTAAAAATGATGTTTTTTTTAATGTAGGTTTTAACTGGGGCTTTATGGCGCTGGTCGCTACAGGGTTGGTTTAGATTGGGAAAAATAAAGGGGAAAAATAAAACGAGGCGCCCAACGTGGGGCTCGAACCCACGACCCTGAGATTAAGAGTCTCATGCTCTACCGACTGAGCTAGCCGGGCTGTGTGAGCGGCTTAATTTGACCCTATTTTGGTGTTGGTTTCAGCGGTTTCGTCGTTGTTGGAGGCTGCAAAATACGCCACCAGGCTGCGTTTTTCTGCTCTTATTCCGAAGAAAAACGGCTTTATTCGGGGCCAAAAAAAAAAAGATAATTTATTTCGGGGGTCAATTAAAGGGAGAATTCAATTAAAGAGTGAAGGGAGAGGGAGGTAAGCAAACCCCCACGGAGGTTTCTGTAGTGTAGTGGTTATCACGTTCGCCTCACACGCGAAAGGTCCCCGGTTCGAAACCGGGCAGAAACACTTCGGTTTTGAGCTTTTTTTCCGCTTTTTGAGATTTAATTATTATTGATGCTGCGTTTGGAAGTGAAACCCAACGCTTCCCGTCGGCAGGAGTTGGGAAGGAAACAGAAGCGAAGGAAAGCAGGAGAATTTTTCCTTTTTTTCGGGGGGAAATTCAGAATCTTTCCAACGAGTAAAAGAGGAAAAATAAAAAGGGGGAATTGGGGGGGGGAAAAACTTCTTTTCCTGACCGGGAATCGAACCCGGGCCGCGGCGGTGAGAGCGCCGAATCCTAACCACTAGACCACCAGGGAGGCTGATCAGTCCCCTCCTTGCCTACTCCATCACACCTACCCAAAATCACTTTTATTTTTCCCTTTTTTCTCTCAATTTTTGATCAATTTTCCTTCCATTTTAGCTCCTTGCCTTAATTTGGGGGGTTTTAGGCAACGTGGTCATTGCACGAAGCAGGAATGGCTGCTGTGCTCTGACACATCGGGGGTTCTGCAGATGTTCCCATTCACCACCCCCAATCCCGTTGCCCACGCTGAGAAAACACCACAACTGCTGCTTAGGAGAAGTAATTTCTTGTGATTTCTGCAGTTTGCATCCAGGATTTAGCAGGCAACACTCATGGGGTCGTGAACCAAAAGCCATCTCTGCGGGGTGATGTCCCAAAAGCCATCTGTGGGGTGACCCCATATATGGGGTGATGAAACCATGGAGTGTTCCCAGATTTCGGGTGATGAGACCCTTTGATTTCCCCACATTT